GGATATGACACTCAACACTAAAACAGGAGAAATAGTTGGTTAGCACTTGGCTTTGAATGCAGAGAAATTAAGATGCAGAGAAGTTTTAAGACAAAATTAGATAGGTTTCTTTTAGGAAATAATATCTTGGGATACAATATGTAGTTTGGGACACGACATGTGCATGCGACTACTACAATGGTGGAAGGCGAATTGAATGGACGTTGGTCTTCTTTCGCCTAGCAAATTCTTATGTTCTTAAGTTTGACCTTTGACTGCCAATTGATCTCTGGATTCATTGGAAGAGACATTAGGTTACTCATTTGCTCCATGTAATGGAAGCATTGGGCAACTTGACTAAAGCACATTCAGAGCCATGTAGGGTGTGTATGAGGATATGGGCCTTTTTTCCATGTTATACAGTCCATGCAATTCTATGAATACAAATTGGTAAACTGCCAAGAATCTTGTAAACACAAGCTCACTGTTACCTCTTTTCTGAATCGGCAATTTGCACAAAAGATTCCTATCTCAGCTGTTTAGGTCACTCACTGAGGCAGATGCGTATTTTTTTGATAGTAGTGTGATAATTATATTTCAGGGTTGGTTTTAATTGTTGCCATAAAGAAAAAAAAAATTCCCACTAGAGATAGACTTTTAAGTGCCTTGGGACTTCCTCACAATGTGAAAAGCATTTTATAAGTATAAATTTATATTGTATAGCTAGTGCATTAGAATAATTTGTTATCCTGAAATTTTAAATCTCATCATGGAAAATATTATTCCCCAAAATAATTTACAATAAAATCAGTAAATGAATATTGTGGTCTAGATAATATACTACCTGGCCAGCATTCTGTTCTTCAACACTACTGTCTAAAACCAATCAAGTATTTTGTTGCAGAAAGTTAGGTGCCCACCTTTTGGAAAGGATATCAGTGGAAATACTATAAAAATTGTATAAGCGTATATATTTTTGTGCTGTTCTCTGAACATTAATTTTTCACAGTTGAAGGTTTGAACAGGACACAGAGAATATTTTTCAAATAATGTCATGGGAGCTTTCATATTCACCTGAAGAGGGAAGACAGGACCTTGGTTTAACATCGCATCTGACATTGCAGCACAGACTAGACATGATCTCAGATTTGCTTTGCGTGTGTGAGCCACAGAATGTAAAGAAGAAATGGTTGCATCTGATTGGTATTTGTGTTGAAAATACTGCTTTGTTTCTTAAGAATCTCTTCAATTTATATCAAGGACGCTTTTCTATACTTGATTGTTTGACTTCTTTAGTTTCAAATCTATTTTCAGCCCTTAGGTTTAAAAACCTTGAGGCTTTCTGAAAACAATGGGGGGGAATTTAATGCTTCCATTCTCAAGGTGACATGCCTGGCAACATGATGGTCTCGGTAGTCTGGTTCCTCAGCCAGGCAAGTCCGTAGTATTCCAGGGCACTGCTGATAATTGCCAGCCTAGCTCAGCAGCAGGACTTGGAAGGGCAGACCCGTCTCTGGGGCAAGGATGCTTCTGACTCAGCTCCTGTTAGCCCTACAAGCCAAAGACCTAATGCCTCAGGTGGTCCTAATTGGTCAAGCAGTGGGAACGCTTGCCAGACAGTGCTCTCAAGGGCAAGATATGCGATTGTAGCTGGCTAGACTAAGCAGTATCCCATCGCACACTCCCCAAGTCTTGGCTTTTGCCACCCTGTGCCTAATACTCTCAGACAAAATAGTCAATTGTGTCTTTATTGTCTTTGAGAGATATTCAAGACTTAATATATTCACTATTGACCTTTGGGGAGCCTGTCACATATGACTGTTCACACCTTTGCAAATATTTAGGAGGAAAGAAAGTTTGTTGAATTCCAAATTCCAAGCTTTTAATATGTGTATTAATTCTTACATAGACTTGGGCACCACAGGTTTGTAATGAATATAAGCACTGTATTAATCTTTAATGGTTTGGGCCCAGTTAAGTATTATTATGTTTACCCAGTTAACATAACAAAACACAACAAATATCTGCTGCAGCTGAGCGTTGATCTCACAGCCTTAGAAACAACACAGTATGTGAAGTCAAAGTATGCCCCTTCCAACAATTACTATTCATAAATTCAAAGGAAGGGTTTGAATGCTACTACTCTTCATTTTTTGTCTGCCTAAAATGCTTTGTATGACATCGGGAGTAAAATTAAAAGGCCATCATCATAATACTCTGCAAATTAGAGACAATATAACATTGTAATGGAATGTTTATCCAAAAATTGTCTCCTTTCTCTCCTGGCTTTCTGCTAATTCAGCAGTACCTATGCTTCTGCTCACATTAGCTCCAATTTGTAATGGCAACAATATTAGCAGTCCATTTATGTGTTCACCTGGTGCAATGGTAGTACTTTCGCCTCTGAGTAAGAAGGTTGTGGCTTCAAACCCCACATTGAGACTTGCAACCCCATAGTCTAAACTCACACTCAGTGCAGTTCTGGGGGTGTGTTACATTGTTGGAAGTGCTATCCTTCGGATGAAATGTTATACCGAGTTCCCATCTACCTGATCTACCTGGATGTTAAAGATCTCATAGCACTATTTGAAAAGAGAAGGGAGTTTCCCCTGGATATTTGTGGGATATTGTGCACAAATGGCCGCCTTGTTTCGCTCACAAAATACACAATCAATCCATTTTACAGTATATCCTGTGAAACGTTTGAGATGTCTCAATGATGTAATAAGGCTCTATGTCAAATGGAAGGATTATTATTTATTATTATTATGTGTGGTCAAAGCGACAATTTTGATTTGAACGTACAACCTTCTCAATGCTGAGGCTAGTGTGCTAGCAACTGAGCCAGACCTACATCTACTTTTTTGAAATGATTCTCATGTTATTAAACATTTAAATCTAAAGAACATTTGTTCTCATCTGTTCCTATTTGAAATACTAATCTTCTATTTGGGTATATATAGGATGTAATTTTTTTGGTATGACTTTGCTCAGGGTTACAGTTACAATACAGCATCACAAAATGCTGCAGTACAAATTAGCATGCTTTGTCAGGAAGTAATTACGTTGATATTTGAATGAAATATTAAACCTCTAGAATATTATCTACTTGCTCCCTCTTCATCCTTTACCCCAACATGGAGCCATGTATTTACATGAGTGGCCGAAGGCATGATCGAAGAGGAAGGTCTTTAGACGGGACTTGAAGGAGGCAAGAGAGGGATTGAGGCGGAGGGATATGCGGGACAGAGTTCCAGAGTGTGGGGCAAAAATGCTGAATGCCTGACCACCAATGGTGGGTCGGGAAGTGCGGGGGACCTGAAGCAGGCCAGTGCCACCAAGCAGAGGGAGCGGACTGGTTGATATGGGGTTATGAGATCGGAAAGGTAGGGGGGAGCAAGACCATGGAGGGCTTTGAAGATAAGATAGAGGGCTTTGAACTTGACTCTGTAAGGGATGGGGAGCCATCCCGGGCAAGGGTGGGGGTAATTGAAGCCGGGCAAGGGTGGGGGTAATTGGTTCGCAGAGCCTGGTGCTGGAGAGGACCCAAGCTGCAGAGTTCTGAATACTCTGCAGCTTTTGGAGGGAAGAGTTAGGAAGTCCAGTGAGCAGGCAGTTGGCATAGTCAAGCTGGAATGTGATGAAAACGTGGATAAGAGTCTCGGTGGCGTGCGATGAGAGGCAGTGGTGGAGGTGGGAAAAGGCAGAACGAGGTTCCATATTAGCTCAGTGATGTGTAGAGTGCAACCACGAATAGTGATATTGTCAGTGCCTGAGGTGATGAGGCCATGACAGAAGCCAAGCAGGAAGGCCTCTGACTTGCAATATTCAGCTGGAGAAAGTTGATTCTCATCCAGGACTTGATGTCTGACAGACAATTACCCAGGACAGCAGCAGTCCTGGAGTCGAGGGTGGAGGTTCTGTAACTGTGGTACAACCACTCTACTTATATTCAATAGGATCTAAAAGTAAGATGTGGTATATCACAAACGAGAACAATGGACTGTTTACAGTGTTTTCCTAATTTTAGACTATTTGAAGCCGCATTTTCTCAGCTTAACAGAGTAACACGAAACTGCCAAACATTTTGAGGCTGTCAGCAATATATCAACATCCACCATTGCTCCAAGCCCTTTGGTTTCTGAGCACATCTTAAATCATTCCCATTCCCATTATTAGAATGTCAGTATATTTTTGTGGCTACAAAGTCAAAATCCAACCTATGACAATGGTCACACTGATTAAAATTGCAGTCAAACAAGTTGATAATTTTTGACTGTCCATGGGGATTTAACTCAACTGCCACATACATACACTAACAGCTTGGGCAGAATTCTTGGGCCTAAAGCCAGCCAAAAGACTTTGCTGGCTACCGTTGCTATCACCAAAGCCAGTGGCCACAGTCAATGTTATTACAAACACATTTGAGGACTGTGTCAGAGGATACAAGCTTAAACATGCTCAGCTTTACATGTGTACAATTTGTTTAGGACCAACAGAAAACACAGGAAATTAGAACAAGAGAAGGCTGTTCAGCCCATTGAGCCTATCACTGTGACTAAGTGAAATGTTAAGGATTTATTGTATATTTTCCATGTGTTTCAATTTCTCATTCTTAATTTATGTTCACAAGCCAGATAACGTTGGTATTGGTTTTCCAACAAATACACAGTCACAATACACTTTACAGTAAAACAAGCAGCCAGGACTACACCTATCAGTAATGCACGAAATATGAATTAGCTTGAAGTGTTTTGAGACATTTTGATGACATGATAAGGCCCTATATCAAATTCAAGGATTATTATTTTTAGCAGTAAATAAGATAAATTAGTATTATTTTTAGAAATAATGACCAAACTAAATAAAGCAGGTTCTGGTTTTCTTTCAATTTCATGCCAATCCATATTTTGTGTAGTACAGATAGGTGCAGTCATTGCAGCTTGTTTAATGCTTAGACAAACAGCAGCAGACTCTGCGCAAATTCAGTCAACAACCCAAAGCCTCTTTTTCTCAAACAGAAAAATACAAGGGAAGAGGCAAAGCAGGAACACATTTAAATTCAGCTCGCAGAAGGAGTCGAGCTGTTCTTTATCACATTTCTGGCCATCTGCAAAAGCGAGAGAAGAACAAATTAAAGATTAATAATGTGAGTACATTAATAACTGTATATTTTACTTCTGGTTGCCAATAGAGCCCAAATGAAGATGGAAAGTGTGCTTTATTGCTGTTTAATTATACATTGTTAAGTGTAATTAAATCTTGTGCCTTTTCTGGATGCAGTAACTCTTCTATGGCGATAACAATGTGGAAACAACATATTAACAGAGATCAAAGTTAGTGATTGCCAAGTTCAAGGACCACGAGTTTTCGTTCATTTTCTAGCAATGCATTTAATAGAATTGTCCCATAATTCTAATGTCAACATGCTGCCCGGTACTGAAATGGCTTCCTTCAAAGAGCGTTTTCAGCAGTGACTTGTTCAGCTCAGCTATTAACAGCTGGGTCCCAATGTGAACCTTTAATTCACTTGGAACCTTCAGACTTGGCAACTTATAAATTGAACTGCGAGATTAGTTATATTGACTTGAGCTGAACTAAGCATTTTTCCCACACAGGGTCACAAGAAATGCAGTGTGGTCCTGCTGACCAAGCAAACCTTTAAAACAAGTATAAAACCAAGAATAAAATGTGCTGAATATCATTTCTTTTGAAAATGAGGAAATATTAGTGTGGGAAATCCTCACCAGTAACTGAGGATAACAGGGACCTAATATATTTGAGAATTTTGTGTTGTGATATTTTGGTTTTATCAAGGTTGTAGTATGGTGCATCCTACCTATCCTAGCTAAGGCTTGGACCCACAGGGTCCAGAACTTATCCAAACCTTTAAGTGCCTTCAACGAGATAGATAATGTGGTTAACCATCAAAAATGTTTTGTATTTCTGTGGGCTTGTCCCTTGCCAGTTAAATCCGAGGGAGATCCCGCACACCCCCACCCCCACTCTGTCACACACCCACACACACCTCCCCCCACACACACACATACACACACACAGACACACACACACCCCACACACACTTACACTTATTTTCTAAATCACAAGATCTCCAGAGAGATATGGATGAAGAAAGCTCTTCTGCCCATTTGATCACATCCTTTTCAAATACCAACACGATGATCTTCTTAGTACAGAATTAAACTTTTTTTTACAAATGAGTATTAAACTATATTTCACTAAATGTACGTTTTGAAACATTTAACAAAAATAACCGTCTTATTCCTCTACAGAATGTTTTTAGAAACAAGCCACCACTGCCAGAGTACAAGGTTGCAGATGCAAAAAAGTCGAAATTCATCCTTTTGCATTACAGCATTTTTAAAGCTTGGTGGGACTGGCTTATATTATTGGCAACGTTTTATGTTGCTGTGACTGTACCATATAATGTTTGTTTTATTGGCATTGATGAAAACTTGCCTACAGCACGAAGCACAACAGTTAGTGACATTGCGGTCGAAATTCTGTTCATCATAGGTAAGAAGACATTTTTCTTATTGACTTCTAGTTTAGTTAGCAATCAGCAGTTATGCATGTCCTGTAAATCTGTGTTAATGAAGCAATTATGGTTTACCACAATTGGTCCAAACTAAATCAGTTAATAGGGAAAATATCACAATAGAATCAGAATATGCTGAATTAAATCACTCGGTTTAGAATGACATGAGCGAACATTAGAATGTACACTTACATTTATTATTTTTTCTGTCTTTTCCATACAACACTGCTTTTTTTACCTTCCATATACAGCATAAACATTGACAATTGCAAACCTTGTTCTGACTCAATTCACTTTGAAATGACCCTGTCCCTATCTGTAACTTTTATTTTTTTGTGTTGAAAGAATTGGCAGATATCGCCCATAAATATGTTATATAGAAAATTGGGGACACCTCAAAGAAAATGTAGGGCATTAGTCAGATCACAAGCAAACAAAGCTTCACTTGAGACATTTACAACAATTTTCTGGACCCCAAGTTGAGATTGGAGCCTTAAAATCACCCACAGGCTATTTTGTTATGTTTTTATAATGTACATTCTGAAGCTGATAGAATATTTTTTACAAGCAGTTTTCTTTTCTTTTCCAAGAGAGACTCTTAGGTCATTGACATCTAATAACATTCACACTGATGGATTAATCATTGTTAGTACAGTAAACTGCAGTTGAGATAAATTGCACGTTGATCGAGAAATACTGCACCCAGGGAATAGTATTAAAAAATAACAGATGGCTCAAATACTGATGAATTAATAAAGTATATGCAGTCACGCATTGGATTTCAGATTCCTTGGCTATGCCTCCAATGAGCATGCTGACTCTAAACTAATTTAGTGGCACATACATGCACCTTCGTACTGCTTCTGACTCAGTCCCTGCAAGTTCATGAGGTAATAAATCTAAACATGCAATCTAAACATTCCTTGAGCTTCAAGGAGAGAATCGATACTTGACACCCTTGGAACTGATTGATGTTCCACCTATTGTACTATTGAATGAATAATGCTTTAAAAATGAACTGGACCAGTAGGTAAATGGAGTAAACTCATTTTTTGTAATAACTATCTCAAGGAATGTGTTGTGAAACGCTTCAAATTTCACGCCGATATATTTTAACACGATACTGGATTTTTTTAAGACTATTCTGCTGATAGCATATTTAAGCAAACCTGTTTATTCAGTTTGTGATATACCTTCCTCAGACAGTTGTATTCTTATCAATGCAAATGCCGTGCACATCAAAATAGCCATTTTTAAAAGTAATGGTCAGCCTGGTGTTTGACACGTGGAAACTCATCACCATGCTTAAGAGTCTCGAAAGTAGACCGAGCTCCACACGTTCATGCCACCTACAAAAAGATATTTCCCTGTGTCTGGAATGGAATGTGCACTCTCTCCCTGGAGGTATGCATCTTGCTTACCTAATTCAGGAGAGTATTAGATACAGGTTGGTGAGAGTTAGGATTTTGGGGACCCCAGCATGTGCGTTGGGATACTGCTGGAATTTAATGCACTTGTTTGCCCAGCTGGGACCACCTTTAAGGGCTTTGGCTTACAGAGCTGACAAGAACCAAGAAACCATGCCCCCAAGACTTCCTCATGAACCAAACTGGCTGATCTGTCATTAGCAGTGCCTTGGAGTACTGTGGAGCCACCTGGCTCAGAAACTGGACAACTGAGGCCACAACAGGGAGTCAATTGGATTCCACCATTCTGTTGTCAGTTTACTTGTTATAAAATAGTTTACCAAAACACTTCTAATATGTGCTGACATCTTTAAATCAGTTTTAGCGGGACACCTGATCATTAGGCCCCTGATCATTAGGTGTATTAAAATTTATTTTTAAAACGACAGATCATTTGGGATGCTTTCAAGTTTGAAGTAAAATTGAGTATAATATAGAAATAGAAGAAACTAAACTAAGCTTAGATTATTTTTTCTGTAAGTCTCTTGACAAAATAGCATTAAAAAATTGTGTATTGATCTTTAATTTGTATGTTTTACACCATTTTTTTCCCTCCAATTTCTTCCCTTTCCTTCCTCTCCTAAAGACTCCTATTTACCTACTAATGGGATTCACTTTTACTTCCATCGGTTGTATTCCATTATATTAGCCAAGTAGGTTTTATTAATGTGTAAGCTTTACAGTGAACACTGGCAGGTAATTTATCCACAGGGGTTATTGAAGCTGAGCATGACTATTCTCACTCAACTCCTTCACATGTGCACCTTCCATCGAAGGGAGAGGCGGAGGATGCGGTGGGGGAAGGGGGAGGGAGGGGAGTGGTAGTACTGACCACTAGGTGAGGACTAGCTCCACAATCTACTCATGTTGATGTTCCAAGGTAATACTCTGCACATTGATGACTTTTGATGACTTTGGCAGTGTGAGTTTATAATGGGAAAATCTCATTACAAACTCACACCTTCATTGTTGTTAAAGTGCACTGAACAGCAGAGCACCTAACCCATAGCTGCAAGGACCACACATTTTCTAATGATTGGAGTATCATTCCAGGTTATTCAACTCAACATTTCATCTACTCTTGTCTTGAGTTTTAGAGAATGCTTCAATTCAATCCTAATTTGGAAGCTGGTTTTTGCCTTTCTTAGAAAGAATAGACTCCATATAAGCCTAAATTTAAGAATTTTCCACAGTTCTGGGCCATCTTAAATTTTAAGGCAAAATAGTCTTATAGGCTAAAACTGGGTACAATTTCAAGACAACTCAGTTTAGATTCCTCAATGAATATTCTGACTTATTACCTACAAATTCCTATCATTGCATGGCTAAAACATGTCACAATTTTACATATGTATAAAAACAGAATCTTGAACATACATGACCCAAAGCAAACTCCTTACCCACATCTCACCAATTCTGGCCAGGCTCCATTGGCTCTCCATCACTGAACGGATCGACTTCAAGATCCTCAAACTCATATTCAAATACATTTACCCCCAGGGACCTCCCTACCTCTCTGACCTCCTCACTCCCCAATCCACCACTCACTGCCTCCGCTCGTCCCTCGTAACCTCTGCCCCACCATCGGAGGTTGCGCTTTCAGCCATCATGCGCCAAAGACATTCCTCTTCGACCATGTCTTTGCCCACCCTCCACACCTCCTGACCCCAACTCCCTGCTTGGTCCAAAACCCTGTTTGTCTTTCCGATGTGAAGCGCGCTATGCAAGTATAAGTTGTTGTTGTTGGCCTGCAGGTTAGGGACATATGCACATCTGTGGGTTTGCTTAGATTATCATGATCCCACTTTGCTTCTCCAGGCATATCTCCTCATGCTCCTCCTCCTCCAATTCAGACTCAGGAAACACCACTTACCTCCTCCCAAAGAGTGATATTATGCAGACATGGTACTTATTTTGTCAATCTCAAAATGCTGAATTGAGCTACTGGGATTCAAATCCAGTCACAAGTGACCCAGCTGACACAGCTGCAGAATAACCTGAGGTATTCTCGTGTATACAACAACAACTAATTACATTTGTATAGAGCCTTTTACATTACGAGGACGTCCCAAGGGCTGGACAGTTAGTGATCCACACCCGAAATGGTGGTTGGGATCAGGAGAGGGGGAGGATAAGGGTAGGAGGATGACTGAAAGCACGATCGAAGAGGAGGATCTTGAGACGGGTATTGAAGGAAGCAAAGGAGGTGGGGGGTAGAGGGACTGTGGGATGGAGTTCCAGAGGGTGGGGGCAGAGTGGCTGCCAATGATGGGGTGAGCAAGGCGGGGACGTGAAGCAGGCTGGAGCCCGCTGAGCAGAGGGAGTGAGCAGGATGGTATGGGGTTAGGATGTCACAGAGGTAGGAGAGAGCAAGGCCATGAAGGGCTTTGAAAGTAAGAACCAGGATCTTGAACTGTATCCTCTGTGTGATGGGAAGCCAGAGGTGTCAGGTGAGGATGGGGGTGATAGGGTCACGGAGCCTGGTGCGGGAGAAGGCACAGGCTGCAGAGTACTGGACCTGTAGCCTGTGGAGCTTAGTGGGAAGAATCCCTGCCCCTCGAGATTGATCTGCGCCTCCATGTCCTCCTGATGAGCCAGGCTGGCTGGACTGTCACCAGCAAGTCCTGGAGTACTACAGACCGGTCTGGCTTAGGAACTGGACTGCAGACTATCACAGAGAGTGGACTCAATTTTGACGGCAAACATGTCACCTTGGAGACAAGGAGACACCACGTATCTCCCCCAACCAAGAAAGATAGTCACTCGAAGGTCATTTCTAGCTTTCTATACTATAGTATCTGGAGCTACTTTGCAGTTTCCCAAATTTTGCTTCTTTAACCTCCGCAGTCCAGCCCCTTCATTGCCTTCATAGCGCAGATTTGTGTCCTCACTAAAGTGGATGGAAGGGAGCAGGAATTCCCCACAAGCTTTCTGCTGGGCAGCACAGTTCAGCATGAAAAGCGTGAGAGAGTTGCTACCATCTTCTTACCCACAACTCAGACACACGGACCTTATGATGGGAAGAAGCTGGAGCAGCAGCTGTTTACTTCTAAATCAAAGTGGGTCATTCCCACAGGGGATCAGTGAGGTTACAAACAGCTTTCTATGTTGTAGCCATTTACCGAATGTTGCTCCTTTAACCTCCTCAGTAAAGCCACATCATCCCCTTCACCCAACACTGGCCCAATACTAACCCAAGCCTGGCCCATCCCTGACCTGACACAAGCCCATCCCTGGCCCAGCGCCGCTGCCCGCTCTCACCTGGCGACGTCTCGTGTGTAAAGACCAAGGAGTCGGCAGTTGTGTGAAATCCAGGCCACTGTGGGCCAGGCTGAGGCCGGAGTTTGGTCCTGAACCTCACTACCCAGCAGCCGGCAGCGGAGCAACACGGGTTGCATGAGCGCTCAGCATATCTTCAGGACCAGTTCATTGGTACTAATACCAGGAATGAACATCGAGCCCATGCAGTAAAACCAATGAAATTCAGCTAAATCTGTTATAATTCACTCTGACTCCAAAGGAAAGTTCCACGCAGCTCATGATATGTCAACATTATCCAACACACCGCCTTAATGCACAAGCTGTTGGACCATCTGCTATGTCCTTTTGTTGTGGTAGAACAGGTAGGCATGTCTTCTCAGCTGGCTTGGATGGCACACGATGTCAAAGAATCCAGTCAGAGAGAATAGTGTGTTCTCTTTGACTCGACAAAAATTCTCGACATAGGTTTGCCTTTTTCCGTTATAAAGAGTTACAAAGAGCATCCGCCATTCAGGATAAAAAGCAACTCAATGAAACACAGCTTATCACAATTCTTTCTGCTCTGCTTTTCACAAGGTTGGTGCATATTAACCGTGAACACACGAGACACATGTATTGTTTTACAGAAGAACAAAAACTGTTTAAACAAAACCAGCAGTGACTATTTTCAAACTAGCAAATGTCCTTACCTGGTAATCTTGCACATGGTGACCACTTGAAACTTCTTAGCTAATATTAACTCTATGAAGTCCGTCCGATCCACAGAAAGGTCATTACAAAACAACTCCATGCCCTCTCTAATATAGCATCGTCGTGTGCATCTTTGTACCTCCTAAAGAATTCTTCAGCTCTCTTAAGCGAGAACTCATCAAGAATTACAACAGATTCATCCTTTTTACTATCTCCAGAATGAGCAAGTTGTGGCTGAGTTCATTCCAATACGAGATCCGTTTTTTTTGTTCCGTTGGCAAGTATGCCTCCAGACATTGTGTTAATTTCTTCACTAGGGCTGGCACTTTTCTTACCATGCGATTTGATATCTGATTCTTTGTCTCCAGTTTTGCTACCCAAAGGAAGGGGGTATTTGCACTTGGTGACACATTGGCCCAGTTTCTTAACTGCGGCGCTCGAGCAGTCCACTTCCAGTCAAGCTTCTTCTCGGATCCTGCTGCTCCGTGTACTTCAACATATCATCAGGGATGAAAACAAGCGTGGAGTGTATAGCCAGTGCAGTAATTCAATAAAATGCATAGCAATAAAACAAAATCACATTTTGAATCTCTTCAGTTAACTTGGGTCAAGAAGTGTCCTGATGTAATCAATCTCTTTTACACAAGTATTTACCCTTTTGAGCATTAGATCAATAGACTTCATCAAGAACAGAAAAGTGGGCTTGTCAATTTAATAGCAGAAAGTGGATTTGGCATTTTAGTCCTTTACAGTCTACAATTTATTGTAATACATTCTTTAAGTATAGAGAATCTATTACAATAAAGTATTCAAATACCGAGGCAGGCAAATTATATGATAATGTATTTTCTTTGCATTTAAGCCTAATAAGGTGCCAGGTCCCAATACTGGTACTAGATTTCCTTAACTGTGTTTTCATCTCTTTATCTCTAACAGATATTGTTTTGAATTTTCGAACAACATATGTCAGTAAGTCTGGCCAAGTTATATTTGAAGCTCGATCTATTTGTATCCATTATGTAACAACATGGTTCATCATCGATTTGATAGCCGCCCTCCCCTTCGATCTCCTCTACGCTTTCAATGTAAATGTGGTAAGCTCACAACTCATTTCAATACTTGTAAGATCTTAATTATTGCTTGGTGAACACTTCATTCCGATAATAATAATTCTTGAATCTATATTGCACCTTATCACATCATTGAGGCATCTCAAAGCGCTTTCCAAAATATAGTGTAAAGTGGATTGATTATTTTGTGGGCGAAATGCGGCAGCCAGCAATGACCCACAAACAGCCATGGATTGAGCAACCAATTTATTTGGGGCATATTTGGCCAGGACATCCAGAAAGAGAAACTCCCTTCTCGTTTCGAATAGTACCATGGGATCTTTAACATCCACCTAAATATGCAGAATGGACCTCAGTTTAACTACTCATCTGAAGGTTGGGAGGAAGCCACCCACATGAAGGGCGCTGTATATGTGCAAGTTGTTGCTGTTGTTCATGAAATGTTTATGTGCTGTCATTGCAGATGCTGATTGTCAATGGGTTTCACATCCTTAACCTGTGATAATGGTCTCATACAAGGATTTATAATTATACTGAAAATCTGTTGAGAGTAATCTGTATTTTTTATAGAGTTTGAGAACCTATACATACTGGAGATTATTTTCTGTGTGTCTGTAAACTTGGCAGTGTAAGTTTATAATGTATTTTCTCATTATAAATCCACACACTAAGGTCAATGAAATGACTGACCAAGTGGAGAATATGCACTTTCTGCCAAGGACAATAAGTTGAGAATCCCATCCCCCAGCCCCCACACCAACCATTGCATGCCCTTAAAGTGATGAATATTTCAGTTATTATTGGAAACATCTACCCCTGCTTTATGCAGTTTTATTATTTACAATATTGTAGTTTCTCAAAGAAATTCAGTATAATCACCATTAATTTGTAACTCAAAATACCCCATAATTTCTCCAAAAACTATACACTGATTTTGGCTGAGATCTGAATCCTCCTCAGAGCCAAGGTCTAATGGATGGTAGTGACACACAGCAGGTATTCCAAGAAATGACATGGCAGTTATGTTGTGCAAGCACTATTTCAGCTTCATTATCTCTTATGAAAACTGGATACCTGACAGTCAGCAGTTATGCCAAAGTTCTGTCTTTTGTACTCTGTACCTTACACAGGAACGTTCCCACCTTACAGCCAAATCTTTGAAACATCAATGGGTTAAAAATTCTGTTCAGCCGTAAACGCGATACTTTTGGTGGAATTTAACTATAGTTGGAAAGCCCAACATTGTCAAAGGAGATGCAAAGAGCTCTAAACATAATATTGAGAAAAATCTGTGTTCTAGTCTGAATCACTCGAAGACAGTGCTTATGTTTATGTTGAAATTTAGCTGCACAGGTTCTGCAAGAAATTGAAGTCCTGGTCACTGTGCTGGCAACAGTGTTGATTTATTTTATAACACACAGTATTTCATGAGATCTACGTGCCCCCACCTGCAGTGTGATGTCACATCTGTAAGAATGTGCTGTGCCTTAAAAAGCAGCATGAATAATAATTGTTTAACACAGTATCAACTTTTTTTTCAGATTATTAGTGGGTTGCGAATATTATTTTGGTCTCTGTGACAGGAAATTGTTTTTTTTTAGATATGGAATTGTATTGCTTGAGAATTTGCGGCCAGTGTTAGCATCTCAGATGATAGATGTTGAGTCCTTTGATAGAAATGTTGTGCCGGAGCATGTATATGGCATGCTTCAGAATGTTAGCATTCCTTATTGCAGTGTGTAGAGAAGCATGCAGTGTGGGTAATGTGGCTGTTTTGAAACCAATTTCCAGCTGCTGCTGAGAGTCCATTTGGCACCGATATAATCTGCATGTTTTGAGAACAAGGCAGTGTTTTGAGAACAAGACAGTGCAAGGATTATTATTTATTATAATAATTCTTTCATTTGATATAGTACTTTGTCATGAGATGCAAAACAGCTCAGTAAATTTGCAGGATTTACTGTAAGTGTAGTTACTGTGTATTTGTAGGGAAGCTGTGTCGGCAGGGAGAGAATGCACATTCTATTCTAGACAAGGGGTAATTTCCATGTGTAATTGGCATGTATATATATATATATATGATTTGGATACTCTTAAATTTGATGATGGGTTTCTGCATGTGATAGACACCAACAATAAAAAAGCAGCCAGTTTGCATAACAGTAAAGCCCAACAAACGATCAATAAATGATCAATTTTTTCTCGGGGATTGTTGTCCTGGACATTGAGAAAAACTACTTTCTAATTTCAAATAGTGCCATAGGATCTACCTGAATAAAGAGTGGGATCTCTGTTTAATGTCTCATCTGAGCAACAACACCTCTGACAATGCAGTGCTTCCCCAGATCTTTCCCAGACCTCTGTCATTTAAGAGGAAGACTTGGACCCATAACCTTCTGACTCAGAGTTGAGAGTGTTACCAATGAATATAGGCAGGCCAGGGAACGTGAACATTCTTTTGCTGCATGGTCACATCGCTGGTGTCAGTGGGTACTCAGAAAATAATAATGCACAACCACAGTCCTCCCAAATGAATTTGGTTTGTTTCTTCAGCCATTTTCCAAGCCTCAGTTATAACTTCTGCTCGAGACATAGCAAGGCTTTGACGACAAATAGTGTGCAGTTGTCAGCTGTTCTCAGTTTCTCTCCCTATCTAAATTTTGATAGATGTGGGCGTCTGAAATCATTCCAGTCACCTGGGGGTTGTTGTCTGCAAGCAACACACTGCTCATATTTCCAGTTGCTGATAGTGAGCACAAACAGTTCTGAGTACATGTGCTCTCGCTGTGCATTCCTGATAGGCTTCTTTCAGTGCCTTCTCAACCAAAATGTTTTCTTTCTCAGCTGGAGGAGGGGGCGAATGACATTTTCTGTTTGAAAGTCTGCAGGGATCCCCCAAGAAACGAAACGAGAAATGAAGTGGGTTAAAACATTTTGAGATGTTTCTCAAATGGATGGGTATTAAGACATTTTAGATAGTAGGCATCTTAATCCTTACAGTATCAATCCTGTCTCTATAATAATAACTGTCTCTATCAGGATAATCGTCCTCTGAATTTTCTACTGACATAATGTGACACTGAAAGAATATTAATATTATAACACTTCAGGATGCTGGACATCAAAAATAGTTTTATTTCTCTAATGTTAATCCCAAAGCACTAAAATTTATGCTGTAGCAAAGTTCTTTAAGATATTTAAACAGTTTAAGAGCAATCTTTTCAGGCCTATTTACCTGCCCTTTCCCCACAAACTCTCTTAAAACCACAGAACCGCAGAAATTTACAGCACAAACACAGTCATTTGGCCCATTTATGGAGTCCTGTAGCTACAACAACAACTTGCCTTATACAGCTCCCTCCACACCAGGCGGCGTCTCAGAGCGCTTAACAATGGTGGAGCCCAAGGTCGAGCCGGGGGAGTAGGAAGGTGACCGTAGGTCGAAAAGATAGGTCTTCAAGTGCGACCTGAAGATAAGGAAGGAGGGGCGAAGCGAAGGGGTTGAGGGAGGGAGTACCAAAGTTTTGGGGCGTAGTAATGGACCCAGTAGAGCGGAGGCAGTGGGTACTGCTTTGGGGAGAGAGGAGGTTAGAGAGATTAGTGGGGTGCCAAGGAATGTGGTTAGTTAGCTTAGTGGTTATAGCACTCACCTCGCAAGCGAGAGGATTTGCTCGTTTGCTAACTATCTCAAATTGACACCTTCTATTCACTGACTCACTGACCAATGGAAATAATTTCTCCCTATTGACTCTCTCAAAACCCGTCACAATTCTAAAGACCTCTTTCAAGTTACCCCTCAATCCTCTTTGTTTCAAAGGAAAAAGTCCCAATTTCTCCAATTTCTGCTCATATCCAAACAACTTATCCCCAGTATCATCCTAATAAATCTTGTTGCTAATTATTTCTGACCTTAAAATCTATATTTTGCCTTTCTTTCAGTGCCCACTGATCATTTGGAAAAGGAGAATAACATTTCTTAGAAGTATTTTTTCATTGGCTTCAAGCCAGATCCACAGTCCAATTTTGGAGCATACAGCAGATTAAAAGATTGATGATTGCCTGTCAGTCTTTAATGTGAAATTTGCAGGAAGTCCGAAGCAGAAATCTGTATACACTTCAGTGATTTCCGAGAGCCAGTAAAGCCTGGACATGTAAAGCCATCTGCAGCACTTATTCTAGAGTTAACTTATTGTAGCAATAAGATAGCACCAGATTTGATACATTTGAAATTATTCTAATGAATTCCTCAATGAAAGTACATTGCAGGAAGTGACCTGTACTGACAAACACATCTCTGTAAACTAGTGGTGAATAGGGCTGAAAATGCAGAGCAAAATCACAGTGCAAAGATCACCATATTTTATCAGAAAGTGAGGTTAAACAATTTTTCAAACATAAAGAACATAAAGAAAATGTTCATAGCAGCAAAGCAGTCTAGTAACAGTCTAGTGAACTGACAGTATTATCCTGCATACAGTTCTGTAATTGGGTTCCAGAATCAATATAATATATAATATAATAATAATCCTTGCATTTGATATAGCGCTTTTCACGTCTTTGAGACGTCTCAAAGCGCTTCACAGAATATACTGTAAAACCAAAATGTTTTCTTTCTCAGCTGGAGGAGGGGACAAATGACATTTTCTGTTTGATAGTATTTAGGGAACTTAAAGGAACTTTAAAGTAAATTGACTGTATATTTTGTGGGCGAAGCGCGGCAGCCAATTGCGCACAGCAGTGTCCCACAAAAATTTGTGGATTGAGTCATCAATATGCTCACCATCCTGGTGCGGTGCAAAGACAGCTCATTATGCTAGTGGTGTACTATGGTGAAGGAGATAAATTGAGGGGTTACTCCTCACTCCCTGACTTGGCATCAAGCTCCAAGATGCTACTCCATGAGAAGTGGGCTTTATAAATGTAAATGTTGTAGAGCAAAGCCAGCTCACCACTCTGGTTCAAAGCCGGGAATCATTCTCTCTACTGGCCTGGGAAATTGTCATTGAGGAAGAGGCCTGTTATGCTTTCTGAAAGTCTGTCTGCAGAGTTTGAGGGCTTTAATCCAGCCTTCTGCAGTTGCCGTTGTCCTGATTTATAAGGGCCACCCTATGCATGATCTTTCAAGTGCAAAGCTCGACATCAAGAATGTTATCAACCTGTAAAGAAAAGAAACACTGAACATTTGCACCAACAATGTTCTTATTTTTTGAAAGTCACTGTGGCACACAGTCTAACACTGACCATGTTTTTTGTGGGTTCCTGTCTCTTTTTGCCTCTCCTAAGAGGATACTGAGCAGCCTGTACAAGTAAGGCTGTGCAGGCGTATATTGTGAGGTAGAGGAAGTGAGGGGTGAACCTGATGGGCCTCCAGCAGAATCGGTTTGAGGTGTCTAGAAAATATGAAAAGGCACTATAGCAAATGCAAGGATTATTATTGGATCCTTCCCATCTATGTATCTGTGAAAACACTACATAATAATAATTCTTGCTTTTGATAAAGCACCGTAACACGTCATTGAAACATCTCAAAGCACTTCACAGTGCTAAGAATTGAAAAATGTTACTGAGCTTTTTTTTGGTGGAGCTTCAACTCATGGGACAGTAAAAAACCAAATACCAAATAATACTCAGAACAGGCCCATCTGTAGTGAAGTGCCTTTGTGGGCATGCCAGGCTTTATTTATTCATGGTGAAATTTAGAAGACTGATGTAGAATTCAATTACATTCATGCAGATGTACATAATACTCAGCAGAATAAGTCATTAACCTCTCAATAATAACTTGCATATGATCATTGTAAAATATGCTAATCAGGATTCATGTCTAGACTTAATTATTTTATGATAAAATTATAATTTTGAGTCTGAGTCACCATTCCATTAAAAGGAATGGCCCAAACCAGCAGATATTGAATGTGTACTTCAACCACGATATGGATCACCCATTATCTTAGTTCAGAGACATCAAGAGCTCTTTATCATGCATTATTTAAGCACAAGCAGAGTAATGTATTAATAATAAAAATCATTGCATTTAATGTCAAACGTATAACATCAAAATATCTCAAAGTATTTCTGTGAAATGTAGCATGCATTTGTAGGCAAATGCAACAACAAAAACAACTTGCACTTATATAGTGCCCTCCATGCAAGGTAGTGTCTCAGAGTGCTTACAAATCTTGCTTATTAACTAGGAACTGGGGGTATTATGACAGTGTTGTTCTCTTCAATGTTAATAATGTTGTCCCAGCCAACAATCCGCCAGATAAAATTGGTGATTCACTTTAATGGCTGTTTGTGAGTCATTGCTGTGTGCAAATTGCTGCAATCCCGCCTGGATTACTCAAACGCACTCCTCACCGGCCTCCCCAGCTCCACAGTTCAAAAAATCCAGCTCATTCAGAACTCTGCTGCCCGGATGCTGACCCTGACCAAACTCTGTACCCCCATCTCGCCAGTTCTGGCCGGGCTCCACTGGCTCCCCACTCCGAACAGATCGACTTCAAGATCCTCACTCTCGTGTTTAAATCCATTCACTACCTGGCACCTCCCTCCTCTCCAACCTCCTCACATCCCACTCCGCACCATTGGAGGTCACGCTTTCAGCCACTATGCTCTGAAACTCTGGAACACTCTCCCTCAATCCCTTTGCTTTGCCCCCTCTCTCCACTTTTTCAAGTCCCACTTGAAAACCTTCCTTTTCGACTGTGCTTACTGTTATCTCCCCCTCCCACCCTGCTCGGAGTCAGGTGCTGTTAAGCGCTCTGAGATGATACCCTGCATGGAGGGTGCTATATAAGTGCACGTTGTTGTTGTTGATATCGCTGTCTCATTTCTCTGTCTGGTTCCACACTACTTGTACATCTGGCTTCCAGTACTAACTAGCCAGCTTCCCAAAAATAGCTCATTAGATTAGTCATTAGATTCCTGCTGACATCAATGCTCTATAATGTGCACTATGTATATTATGCACAAGGACGCCCCACCAATATCACTTTTTACATCTTGCTCTCACCCCACAAGTGAGAGGACGTGGGTTTGATTCATAGAATCATAGAATCATAGAATTGTACAGCACAAAAAGAGGCCATTCGGCCCATCGAGTTTGTGCCGGCTCTTTGAATAGAGCAATTAATGTCAATCTCACTCCCCAGCCTTTTCCCCATAACCCTGCAAACCCGTCCGCCTCAAATACCCGTCCACTGCGTTTTTAAAAGTAGTTATCGAATCGGCCTCCACCACCCTTTCAGGCAATGCGTTCCAGATTCGAACAGCTCGCTGCGTGAAAAAATTTCTTCCCACCTCCCCTCTGCTTCTTTTAGATACTATTTTGAATCTGTGACCTCGAGTCACTGACACACCCACCAGTGGAAACAGTTTTTCCCTTTCTAACCTATCAAATCCCCTCATGATTTTGAAGACCTCTGTTAGGTCTCCTTGTAACCTTCTCTGCTCCAATGAGAATAATCCTCACCTCTCTAGTCTTTCCTCATAATCAAGGTCCCTCATTCCTGGTACCATCCTCGTAAATCTCCTCTGCACCCTTTCCAATGCCTTAACATCCTTCCTATAGTGTGGTGCCCAGAACTGGGCGCAATATTCTAACTGAGGCCTAACCAGTGTTTTATATAGGTTAATCATAACCTCCTGACTCTTGTACTCTATGCCCCTATTTATAAAGCCTAGTATCCCATATGCCCTTTTTACAGATTTATCTACCTGGCAAGGCGAAATGTTGGGCAAGTTTCCTTACTCCACACACCTCTGTTTACCTAGCAGTAGGTAGGAACCCGGTTGTTAGTCGATTGGCGGATCGCTTTTCCAGGGATAATAATTCCTTAAAAAAATTTTGGTCACTTAATGCACGACTGTTTGCGAGACACCGCTGTGTCCAATTCGCTGCTGCGAGGCGCTTTGAGACGTCTCGAAGAAGTGATAAGGCGCTCTACCAAATGCAAGGATTATTATTATTATTTGTACTACGCACATGAAAGAGTATTGATGGCCAGTGAAGGAACTTACGTCAACAGAGCTTCTTGCACATAGCCCATGTGGTCAGCATGCAGCAAATGATCTAAGCAGAACTTCCTATGCATAGCGCACATGCTGACAAAGCGAAGGAAGTGACTTCTTCCTTTTTCTCACATAATAATAATAATAATCTTTGCATTTGATATGTCACATATTCGAGACTTCTCAAAGCGCTTCACAGAATATGTTGTAAAGTGAATTGACTGTATATTTTGTGGGCAAAATATGGCAGTCAATTGCACACATAATTGTCCCACAAACAGTTGTGGATTCAGTCAGCAAATTATGATTGAGAGATCCAGGGAGTAATTGGAGGAAATTCTTGCCCTCATATAAGACATGCATTGACTGTAGGAAAGCACAATGTCCTCCTTATTTCTAAAATTCCAAAAAATAATCACTTATAACTCAGCCTCTGAAAGATTGAACCCAGTGGACTGGGTTATAACAATAACAATGTCCTGAATAACATAGAATATTATCATTCAGTAGAATTATGTGCATGACTAACATAAGCTTATTGGAGTTCATTCTCTGTAACCCAAATTACATTATGTCCAAGTATTGGAAAGGTAATCTTGTTAGACCTTTGTTACAACAGCCAAACATTACCATCATAGTTACCATCTGCCATGAATATAAAGAACCAATAAATGTGTTTACAACAACACCAAAATTACATTTCTATAGCACTTTTCACACTGGGAGGATGTCCCAAAGCCCTGGACAGTCAATGTTTCAGACCCAAGCTGGGGGTTAGGATCGGGGAGGGTGGAGATCAGGGGGGAAAGGAGGGTGACTGAAGGCTTGGTCAAAGAGGAGGGTTTTGAGACGGGTTTGAAGGAGGCAAGGGAAGGGGCGAGGCGGAGGGACTGCGAGATGGATTTCCACAGGGTGGGGGCAGGGTGGCAGAAGGTAAGCCTGCTGAAGGCAGAAGTTAAAACCAAATAATTATTTTAGAGACTTTCTGCAAATATCAAGACTGTTTTCTGTAGCTCATTTGTATAGAGTTGTTATTTGTTATGGTGATGATTATTTTTAGAGCAATGAAAAGTAAAGGTACAAGTAAATATTTGGAGAGGAAGGGAATTTTCAATGCATTTATTCAGTTGAGTGTAAAAGGACATATTAGTGTGGTCTAATTTACAGCAAAATTTAGAATTCCTGTCGAGCCAAGACAACTCTGCTCCAGAAATAGATCATTTTAGAGAGGAATTTTCACTGGTCAGTGTGATGTATTATTGGTTACCAAAAGACTACTCAGATTCCTCATTAATGAAAACTATTAAGAAATACCACAAAATAACCATAATGGTTTCAATGACATCTGAATTTGTGTACAAGGCAGAGCAGCCTAACTAAACTTGGGTGTTTCATTTCGTTGGCAGGTCTCAATTGTACATCTTCTAAAGACCGTTCGCCTGCTGAGACTGTTACGACTGTTGCAGAAGCTGGATCGTTACTCCCAGTACAGCACAATAGTCCTGACTCTATTGATGTCCATGTTTGCATTGTTGGCCCACTGGATGGCGTGCATCTGGTATGTCATTGGCAAGATTGAAATGGAGGATAATGACCCACTTACATGGGACATTGGTAAGTCATTCTGATGACATTATAAATTTTATAAAATACTTGGAGCAATGTATCCATATACCATCACAATGAAATTGCTGTTAATCAGCAAATGCATATCTATATCTTTTATCAGTTTTAAAGAAGAAATGCAGATTAAGAGTATCCATCTGTTGTTCAGTGTGTAAGTTTATCCCCTGTTTATATTGTGGATCTGGAAGCTTGACAAGGGTGTCAAACATGTTGGCTTATTTTGAGGCTTTTGCATTTGCCCATACACTCCAGATGGCGCTGAAGTAAAGTGATGTTTTCCACATCCACATCCAGGCAATGAGGTTGAAGAGTGCTCAGGAAGATAATGAGATCCTGTACCTGAATTTTGGTTAGAACAGTGAAGGAGAAAGCTCAGATTGGAAGGACATTGAAGCGATCACCCACAGACAGGCCAGGGCTGTGCTTAAAGACAGAATATAGATGTTCCGCAAAAGGGAAGGAGACTGCATCAGAAGCAAAATGACCATATTCTAGAATGGAACAAACCCTTGTAAACTGTTGTCCTTCTGGAAGAGAGTATATTATTACCCCAGAGAAGATACATATTGATATATATTGCTGTTTCCCATAGAAAGAATACGGCAAGAATATTAGAAGGGTTCTAGTAAATTACTATCTCATTCTTATATTGGGTATTCTCAGCATTTCTTGTTTTCATTTCAGATTTCCAATATTTGTGTTTTTTTCTTTTTAATATCTGTTGGTAGAATACATGTTTTTATTTTCATGGATTATAATAGAAATTTATTGAGCAGAGGTTCCTGAGGACAAATCAGATTGTAACAAAGCCTTTACAAATTTTGAAATCTATAAGCAACAGGCCCAAAATTCACCTCGTCTTAGCCTGGCGAACCATTTTACTTTAAAATTTTAAGATTTGCACAGAATTGTGGAAAATTATTAAATTCCCTGTAATTTGGTAACCGGTTTTCTGCAATTCTTCAAAAGGAAACAGCTTCCAAATTAAGACTGAATTCAAGAATTTTCCACAATGCATTGTGATATTAAATTTGAAGGCAAAGTAATCTTAAAGGGAAAAAGAGGGTAAATGTTGAGCTTAACATGTGCAATATTAGCAAACCACATTTGCTGCATTTTTTGTAGCAATTAACCTTTCGCAGGCATTTTTCTAACTTTTTTTTTAGCTTTGCCCACTCGGGACTCAGGATTTGCTGGCTGCAAATCTAACACATCAAAGTCACAAACTCAAAATTGGAATTAATGCAGCAAATCGAGTTTGTGAATGTCACAGATTCAACCCCCTGCTTGTTTTTACAGCAGGTTTGGTTAGCAAAAATAGTTAATATTGACTTATATAAATGATATTAACAAAGTTGTCAAGCAAGCTGATGTCACAACACACTAATAAGTGCTCACTTCAGGTAATGAATAAAATATTCCTTAAAGATCAAAGAATTTAAAAATAAATGAACTTCAGCCTTCATCAGTGGAGTGGAGTCCTGTAGCTCAGTGGTTAGAGCACTCGCTTTGCAAGTGAGAGACCTGAGTTCAATTCCAGGCAGGGCGAAACCTTGGGCAAGTTTCCTTACTCCACACGCCTAATAATAATCCCTCCAAAAAAACAAAAACAATAATAAATTGGTCATTTTCAATCTACGACTGTTTGTGGGACATTGCTGTGCGCAATTGGCTGCCGCGTTCGCCCACAAATATACAGTCAATTCACTTTACAGTCTATTCTGTGAAGCGCTTTGGGACGTCCTCCCGACGTGAAAAGCGCTATATCAAATGCAAGGATTATTATTATTATTATTATTATCAGCTGCAAGAACCATTTCTAGTGGCAATGAATGCCAAGTAACTCTGTAATTGTCAGTTGACATGGCAAGCGTGGGATCAGCTGCTCAGATAAACATCTCGGATTAGTAAAGCTGTAAACACTTGAATGATTCATTTTGTTTTGGTTAGAATGCAGATTCATCTCAAAATTGAACCTGAACTTTTGTTTTGATGAAACTTTAATCAATGGCATTGTTAAAGTTTGCCTTTTTGTTTTGTTAGGGAAAGGGCCAAATTATTTTTTCCTCTCTCCTTTTTTCCCCTTTTCAAGTATCCCTTACAACACATACAAATTTTCCAGCCTGGGAAATTAACCATCGCAGCTTCAGGGACATAGGAACAGAATAGACCATTCGGACCATCAAACCTTTTTGTTATTTTATCAGGTCATGGCAAATCACCGGGTTTTATAATCTTATACTCTTATGATTCTTATATCTGGCATGTTTGTGTTGAATCAGATAACAATTTATAGCCAAACTAACACTATTAACAAAGGATGAGCAGCGTGAATCACAATGGATTCTGTTCCTGACACAACCTGGATGAAGTGGTCACCAGGGGGCAACAGGCCCAACCATTTCACTGAAGGCATAGCGAGGGAATATTCATCTCCAAAACCATTCAATTACTATCGACTCAAATTAGTATGTTTCATAGCAGATGTGGTGTGGTGACTACCAGACTGCCAGATTACCAGAGAAACAATCAAGCCTCCATGGCATCCTCATGCGTAAGGCTAACTTCATGTACACACCCATCTGTAAGCTGCACCATCTGAAACACCAAAAGTAACTTGGTTCATTTTGGTTTTATAAAAAAAATTAGGGAGAAAATGGCTGTTTACCAATTTATTTTCACCATAAAGCATGTATTGTTTGGTGAAATTTGATTAAAAACAACTTAAGTGACTAATTACTATCTTCCTTGAGTATATGTGTGTGTGTGGTGGGGGGTGGGGTGTGTGGAAACATAAGCAAGGTCTCCTTGGAGCTGAGGAGGCACTAACAACAACAACAACTTGTGTTTATATAGCGGCCCTCATGCAAGGTAACGAGTCAGAGCACTTGGCAGTGGCAGAGCACAAACCCAAGCCGGGGCGAGAGGGAGGTGACCATAGGAGATTGGTTTGAGTGGGAACAGAGTGAGACTTCAGTGAAGGAATTAAGTGAGAGTAGGAATTCAGTGCAGAGAGGGAGGAGGTACTTATATAAAAAAATAAAGAATATGACATTACAGGCAGTGTCGAGACTGCAGAATGCAGGAAATTGCAGACAGTAACACTGTCCCAGGAATGCCTATGTTTTGAGTCACTCCGGCTCAGTCTTTGAGCTGCAGTGAGCATTAGAGACACTCCGACACATAAGGGAGGTATTTTTGCCCACAAAATATACAGTCAATTCACTTTGCAGTATATTCTGTGAAGCGCTTTCAGACATCTCAAAGACATGATGAGGTGCTATATCAAATGCAAGGATTATTATTATAAGTATTCAAAGAAAAATTTGGTACAATACAAAACCAGTACATACCCCTAAAACACAAATGCTCCACTTGTGTAGTTCAACAACCATGGTCGACAAATGAGGTAAGAGGTAGAATCAAACTAAAAGAAAAGTCTTACACTAATACAAGAAAAAGTGGAAATCCAGCAGACTGGGAGACTTAAAAAAAACAAAGAAATACAAAGAAAGTAATAAGAAGTGCAAAAGGGGAATATGAGAAAAAAAACATGCAAGGGATGTCAAGGGCAACAGTGAAAGCTTTTATAAATATAATATTAGAAACAGAGTGTAAAGGGGAATATGGGCCCATTAAAAACAGATGTAGATGAGACTATAATGAACAATAAGGAAATGGCAGGCTTGTTGAATGAATACTTTGCTTCCGTTTTCACAGCAGAGGAAGAGGACAAAATACCATTGGTACAAGATAGCCTAAAAATAAACCAAGGAGAAATGCTAAATGGATTTAATATAAATTTATAAAATGGTAATGGAGAAAATAATTGTACTAAAGATAGACAAATCAGGACCTGATAGATTCCACTCTCGGGTATTAAAATAAGTAAGGGAGGAAATTGCAGATGCGTTAGTCATAATATTCCGAAGTGCTCTATCTTCGGGAATTGTACCCTTGGATTGGAGAATTGCAAATGTCACTCCATTATTTAAGAAGCGAAGGAGGGGAAAAATAAGTAACTACAGACCTGTCAGCTTAACTTCGGATTTGTGAAAGTTAGATCATGTCTGATGAATCTAATTGAATTTTTTGAGGAGGTCACTAACATGGTGGATAAGAGTGTCTATGGATGTCGTCTACATGGACTTCCAGAAGGCATTTGATAAGGTTCCGCACAAGAGGTTATTAGCAAAAATAAAAGTGCATAGAATCAAAGGTAACCTTGGTAATCGGTTGGGAGCCAGAAAACAGGCAGGGAGAAAAGGAATGTTCTCTGATTGGTGCAGTGTGACAAGTGGTGCTCCCCAGGAGTCTGTACTGGAGCCTCAGCTTTTCATCAAAGATATATATAAATGACTTGGATGAAGGAATAGAGAATTTTATATCCAAATTTGCAGATAACACAAAGTTAGGAGGGACAGGAATTTGTGTAGATGATAGCAGGAAGTTACAAAGGGACTTAGGATAGATTAAGTGAGTGGGCAAAACTGTGCCAGGTGAAATTCAATGTGGGGAAGTGTGAGGTCATTCATTATGGATCCACCTACATAAGTCATTAAAAACAAGCTCACAGAAAGTTATAAAAAAGGCTAATGGGATGCTGGCCTTTATCTCAAGGGGACTGGATTATAAAGGAGAGGAAATTATGTTTCAACTGTATAGAGCCTTGGTCGACCCCACCTGTCTTCAGTTTTGGGCACTGCACCTCAGGAAGGATATATTGTCTCTGGAAGGGATGCAACACAGATTCACCAGAATGATACTAGGGCTTAAAGGGTTAAATTTGAGAACAGGTTGCATACACATGGTCTCTATTCCCTTGAGTTTAGAAGGTTGAGGGGTGATGTTATTGAGATTTTTAAAATAATAAAGGGATTCTATAGAGTAGATACAGAGAAACTATTTCCTCTGGTGGGGAATCCAGAACAAGCGGGCATCATCTTAAAATTAGAGCCAGGCCATTTAGGAGTGAAATTATGAGGCAG